CCTTAAACGTCAAATATCCACTTTTAATTGAGTAATTAAATAAAAAACCGGTTGCAATTATAAAGTAATGATGTACTAATTTAGGATCAATCAAATATGTATGAGGACTGAGGTTTGGACTGAGGTTGAATAGGGATAGAAATTACAAGGAGAAAACAGTTATACAAATATATCAGAATTACTTCTTCTTAAGAATATGCAGAATAGATTTAAGAGATAGATATATTATTAATAAGCTTTAAATTACTTCTTCTGAATTTCTGAATTTCTCACTTCCATTACAAGAGTTCATCAAACCACTATTTATAGGGATGGAGCTTGATGATGAATCACCCTAAATAGTTCTACGTAATTTTGCTGGCACATGTAAATCAAGCCATCTGATTTATCTATGATTACAAGGACATGGAATAGACTAACGAAATATACTAAATCGTTATTACTAACGACATATTAAATCTATTATTAAAATATTACGAGATACAATTAGTAATCTATTGATGTCAATTCAATATTGAACAATAATTATTATTAGTATATTGAAGCAGTTCAACATGTCACATATTAAAAAGTAACACATTCTCCCAAAATAACTTGAAAAGTATAGATTTAATCAAATCAATAATGATCTCTAAAAAAAACTATTCAAACAACATGGGTATAAAATCATTTATTCCTAATATGATATTGTGTATTTAGTCATTTTTATAATTTTTTTTAAAATTGAATAAGACTTTCGAACAAAGTTGTGTGTCTAGACTCACGGAATCCCTATGTATATACACTTGTCGCATAAGTGTATCTCTCTTCACTCGTCAGCTACTTAGCGGCCCAACCATCATGACTTGCAAGCTCTTGGAACAAGATGTGCTTGTTTCTTGACATTTGTACATTACTCATTAGTCATTAAGGTTAGCATATATAGTAGAAACTTATAAGGTTACTAGTTTATATACGCGCGTTGCGCGTTCGTGTTAATGCCCAAGGCTATTGAAGGGAACATAATTCCTCGATTTAGTTTGAGTCAATGAGAGTAATATGAATACAATATTTTTTTATCGTATATGAATACAATATTTGAATACGTAGTTTGTTAAGTACTGATAAATTAAATAATCTTAATGATTGAAGTATTTGTATGCTAGATTGTATGTGGGGGAAATAAAGCAGCCAAAATGACTAATAACCATAATAGGAGTAAGGCTCACATCAAAATAGCAAATAGTAGCATGCATTTGTGGTGTTATATGAAAACACAAACAAACACAAAAAATATACGTAGTAGTAGTCAAATATTTATCAGGGTCTAATACTCTAATACGAAGTATATTGAAAGTCACGGCAGAAAAGCACAAGCTGCACCAACAACCTCTATAATTTTGTCATTACAGTGGCAACTTCGTAAACATTTTGAATAAAATGAAGAATTGTTTTATCTTTCACTTTTCATGAGTGGGACAATATTACATCGTAAACCACTTCATGAATGCATAATATACGTTAATGTCATTAAACCACATACCAACTGCATTGAATATTTGTTGTTCCAAGTCCGACTTCAGGTGGTTCATCTCCAGTAATCATTTAATCATCAGTCATTTGGGAAACTGAGGAGCAAATATAGACATATCATTTTACAATCAGGCCTCCATCAAATGTTTACAAACAACATATTACTCAAAATATGAGCACGAAGTATATTATGAAACTCAACCATTTTAGTCCTATTATAAGGCACCTCTTAAAAGGACTCGATGGTTCTTTTCATAAGGCATTGATTCCTCTATGAAGCATTTTAAAAGTACTGTTTAATGATGCATTATATAATGGCCAATTGGAATATAATATTTTCTAATAACCTAGACATATTAACTATTCTCCTTGGTCTGTAATTTCATCAGTTGTGTCATGATAAAAAAAAAATTCAGAGTGAGTATTTTATTTATTTGGCTTACACCCTTTGTTTCCCAATCTTGACTTTCTAAGCGAAGGAAGTGCTTCCAACAAAAATGCAACAACAGCTGCAAAATGAATACCCTGTGGAGTACACAATGAAAGAAACTTTAAAACTGAAAAGATTTAGAGAGATAAAAAAACAATGTTGATTGACTATGAAGTTTGATACGGAGTATTAAAAATGAATTTAACATCATTGAGAGTTTAACATCTTCCAGAAATTTAACATGAACCGCAACCGAGAAATCAATTGGTTCAAAACAAGAAAGCACCCTCTCAAGCATCATTGACAGTTTAACATCTTCCAAATGATATCCAACAACTTCAAAGCCCACATATCCAACAATTTCTTTCTTTTTTTTCTATAACATGAATATAGCAAGCAAAACCGTCATCATTAGAAATCTAACTCATATGATATAACTTCACAAGAAAATAGTTTCATTTCCAAATAGTACATGTTACTTCGTATAATCCTAAGATCATAGTACCACCAGTCCCTACTTTCTAAGGTAGGTGTCTCTATGCATGAATTAAAACTAGTGGAAAAACATTGACATAATATAATATAGATAAAATTTGAAACGGGATGGTACGAGCGACAAACTATAATGTTAGTAGGAAAAATATGAACCTTATAGATTCATGTTTTTAATCACAAAGCATATTAAGGAAACCAAAAGAGATGTAATTTCCATTTCCATAGTAAAAAATATTTTTAAAAGATACCACGAAATATAAAAATATATCACCGCCCAGACCACCTTATATTATCTGCAATAGGTACCTTGACATTATCATCTAAATGAGCTCTCTTAAGCCTTTAATCTAGTAAAAACTCAAGCCTTGCGCATAGAACTATCCACTTATAGTATCATTGTCATGACGAGAAGAAGAGACAATATACATGAAAGTTAATTCATATGGGGATTTCAGATTGTATGTGATACATGGGTTTCCAAACTAATATACTAAGCCTAGGTATACTCTCATATTGTTAGATAATAAAACTGGTATACCTTCTGGTGCATATAATTATGCCGAAAGATTTAGCTTGTTTAACAGTCCTCGAGTAGCAAAAATTGAACTGAAGCATACTTTAAAAACATAGTACCGTTAGCACTACGATTAGTAATATATATTATTAAGAACAGTACGAAATGAAAAAATAAAAATAACTATAGATTTTAAACACAGATAAAAAAAACATTCTCGATAGAAGTTTGTTACTTAGAATCCACAGAAGGCTTTAAGAATCTCATAATCAAAACTAATTGAATAATTGTACAAAAACATCGCCATACACTACATGAAAAGCATTTAGAACATTCTGAGAAATAGAATGTACAATTACTTAAACATTTCAGCACAAAACCTATTAACTATGAACACCAAATTAAAACATTAACATTTCCGCACCTAATGACTTTCACCTAATCAGCTCTAGGGGCATGATGACTTCGTAACACCAAGTTAGTTTAATTAACTGCACAGGTTGACTACATAGGTTAACAGAACAAATACTATAGTAGGTTAGAAAGATTTGTCAAGAAAAAAAACTACACAGGTTGACAACATATTAACATGGCTTAATGAAACATATTCCCAGAAGATATAATGACAAGTTAGCTTTATTTACACTTAAAACTGGAATATACTTTACCCACTTTAAGCCACACACAGAAATATTACTCTCAAATTACAATATAATTATTCAAAAATTATTCAATTTCAACGAAACAAAGAAGAGATACCTCTCGGGATTATTCACAAACACCTTATAGATATTACCTCCAGGGCACTTCATCAGAAGAGGTTTCACGAACACATCTCCTGCAAATTGAACGAATACCCTTTAGCTTATAATGCAATTACAACAAAAAAGTATAAAATTAGGAATAGAAATCAATCTACATAAAAAATCTTATAATTTCTCACATACGTAGTACTTCGGTTTATGTAGTCATTCTTTTGTGCACCTGAAATACACCTAAAAGGTAGATAGGTATATTTTGAAAAAATATTTAAGTCTTTGCCATTGAAAAAGGGACAGCTCCCCTTATCCAATCACTTCAGCAAACTACAATAAAAGTTAAATAAATTAGAAATTTAAACCCTAAAACGTAAACAAGAAAGCATGTAGTAATATATGGGACTTGGGAGAGGCTTACGTTGGAAAGTACTGAAGAGGCGATGTGAAGATGTTGTATCACAAGTTGCAATTGCGGAGGCTGGATAAAGAGAATGTTCTCGCTACGAGGAATTGAGGTAACCACGAGGGATCACGATATTACAGTGATGACATGGATACTTCGTGGATGCGCAATCCAGCCTTCAGTCGTCGGTGAACAGAGACATACAGAATTAGAGATCTGGGACAGTGCTGAGCAGTGGGAAAGAACCTTTGTCAATCAATGAAACCAAGTGGTTAAAACGAAACACAGGGAACAATTAAATTTGCAAGAAAACTCTCCAAATTCCGGCGCTTCATTTGAGATGTAAGCGAAGAGAGTAATGAAGTGGGTGATGATTACATAAAAGAGATAACGGAGGTTTATTCCACAAAACGGAGTGCTAGAGAAGTAGAGAGAAACGAACAATGTTTTAATCGTAGAGTACAACAACATAAAGCTTGTATGTACCACCAACATTTTTCTTATGCCTATAATAGCCCTACCCTCATTCATTCTTATCATTTTGTAGATAGATAGGGGGTTTGAGAAACTGGGCTTTTATTATTGTATTTTTGTATTTGTAACCAACTTAGTTATTAATTTTGAGCTTCAAAATTATAATGGGTTTTTACAATATATTAGCATCAAAAGTGATTGTTGAGTAGGGAATCGGTACGGTATTATACCGGTATACCGCGGTATATGAAGGCAAATACCAATATTTCGGTATTTTCCGCTATTTTTCGATACGGTAAATGCGGTATACCGATTTTTCGGTATACCTAAATTACATGGCCCTCAGGCCCTCAACTGCTCCCACTACAAAAGGCTAAATCAGTCATTTAAACGAACTCAGCAATTGAACTCGACCACGAGGGCGGTCGCGGGCGCCGCGGAGTGGCAATTACGTACTTTCACTGATAATTCCCGACCACCTCCTCTTCACTCTGGACGCCCCCCACTCTTTCCAGTTTTCCCCACCATCTCGCCTTTCCCCCTTTTTTGAACTCAACTCATTTTACTGTAAAGCATTTCAATTATTTAGAGAGCTGTGAGAGTTATGGCTTCTGGCGGCGGTATTAGGAATGGGAATCACAAGGCAACGAATCCAAGGACTTCATCCTCTGTTAAATCTAAGCTTCCACCGCCGACATCTAATCTCCGGCGCAGTAGCGTCTCCCCTCTCGGCACCGGTGAAGGTGGTTCGTCTTAGCTTCCCTCCCCATTTCGACAATAAAGTTAAATGTTTATCAGTGTACTTGCAATTTACTACACGATTGGCTGTTGAGATTTGAGATTGAATTTTGATATCACCTTCAGTTCAAAAATCTACTGTTTTCGCTGCTAACCTATCATTTTTTGAATGTTTGACCGTTGTGCTGGATGATGTGGCTACTCTGCATTTCGTATTTGAGTTAATTAATTTTACATTGTGGCACTTGGGTGATTTATTGATCTGCATTTTTGAATGACTTTATAGTTTCTGGAAGAGTTTGAGTTTCCATACGATTGAGACCGCGGAATGATGAGGAATTGGCAGCAGATGCCGATTTTGCTGATTGTGTAGAGCTGCAACCTGAGGTGTTTAACTTAAGCAGTTTCACTCTTGCTGTAGGATTTGTTGATTTCTTGAAATTGCTCATTCATTGTTTTTCTCGGGCAGCTTAAAAGGTTGAAACTAAGAAAGAACAACTGGGATACGGATACATATGAGTTTGATGAGGTCTTCACCGAGTTTGCATCACAAAAGCGTGTGTACGAGGTGGTTGCGAAACCTGTTGTGGTGGTGCGTGTCCTTTGTGCAGTTAATTTAGCTTTCTTAAACTCCTCCAACAGACGAGAAATAGCAAGTAATAAGATTCCATAAAAGAGAGTTTTCACTATTGATTAATCTTTATGCTCTATTTCGTGCATTCTTTTTAACTCTACATATATGATATTTACCTTCTCGGTGGGAGCCAATGTTGATACAGAAGTTGTACAGGATATTGGAGGTCTATAGCTGATGGTCTTATTTAGTAAATGGTTAATCTGTTACTTTTTTGGTACTTTGACCAACTTTGGTTTGACATTGTCAACTGCTCATTTATATGGCATTTTGTTTAGGGGTTAGACCCCAAATCACTGAAATTGAAACACTAACATGAGTAGCTTTTTGAGTAGTAGATTGATTTTTTGGTTTTAAAATACATTTCAATTTTCCCTAGTCCCTAATCATCAAACATGGTATTTGATTCATAATATAATATTTCAAATTAATTTATATATTAATTTTCTATGAATCATGTTAGTTTACAATAAAAAAGTAATGAATATAATTTTTAAGCATGGAACAACAAAAACATAAACAATGGCAACACCTATTATTACCATTACAAGATGAAGACAGTGGTGACAATAATAACAATTATTTTTGGCACATCACAAAAATACAACAATACTAATAATCTGTGGAACTAATATTTGAACTTTCAATTTTCAAAAATTCATAAAATTGTGAGTGATACCAATTAACTGGATTAATCTGTAGTTATGAACTCAAACTCTTACGGCGCAATTTGCTTGTAAAAAATACACAATCTGCGATCCACTAACTCTTGATATTCAAACAAGGCCAATGACTTGTTGATTCTTGGTCATAGATCTTGTAATCCAAAATCTAGAAAGAGAAATAAAGAGATCTAGAGAGAGAATTATGATTGCATTCATGATTAGAATTCCATAATCTTAACTCTTACATCAGTCCCATTGGAGGTATTTATAGGTGTACAATGATTGAACTTGGCTACTTACCTGTGCAACATGTGTCTCTGACTAGCTATGCTTGTGAAATGTGTCATTCACAAAAACTGGAAATTAGGAATGACGGTTACCTACAAATCCAGTACTGATGCATTTCCTTCTGATTGGCTGATTCAATCCCTAGAGAACACTTAGTCTCCATCCTTGTAGCCGAAGCCGAGGACAGAAAAACCTAACAATGAGCTTTTAGGCCTGCCTTGGAGTGTAGGCCTCCTCTATCTGTGTCCATCTGTTCATGGGCACGGGGTCTAAACCCATATACTCCACTTGGTTAAAAGTTCATCTATTTTGCTGCTATTTCGTGCCATTCATTCTTTTCTTCATATTGCTATACAGATAAATATTTGCATTTTTTAGTTAGACATTTATAGGTTGTCAGTTGAAAATTATTTTTATGTGGTAAGCTCCTGCTGAAATGATCCATCCCATCTTCTCCTCTTTTTCTTAGAGTGTCTTGGAAGGTTACAATGGGACAGTTATGGCATATGGTCAGACTGGTACTGGGAAAACCTATTGATAGGAACCACAGTAGAAGAGATGAAAAATTGAAGTAGAATTGATAACTGAAAAGAGAAAGATACAGTAGAGACTGTTCGAGTCGTCTCAACACTCCCAGGCCTAATCCCAATCCCAAATTCTGCCTGCCTATCTCCTCACCCTCTCTCCCTTATTTATGCTATTTCTAATGGGCCAGCCCACTTCTATAAAGTTATAAGGCCTAAACCCTTATTATTGAGAATAATAAAATTACTTAATAGGCCTTTTATTATTTGTAGTGCCCGTGTCCCTATCATCACTCCCCCCTGAACTTCCACCTTGTCCTCAAGGTGGGGAGTAAGAAAAAACCATGCCATTCAACTTCAGCCTCGTGCCTCTTCCTTCCCAATAATTCAGCTTGGATACATGAAATGGCAAAACCTTCCCATTTGGATTGAGAGCCTCGGCAATCAAACAGTCATAATGATTGGTGTTGGTAGTAGCTTGCGCAAGGTTGTTTGCATGAGAAGATGATGGATATGCATAACTCTCATTCTGTTCTTGATTACCCTCAGTCATCATCTTATTTGATTCCTTATAGCAGTCCTCATTTTCGGCTGGCTGTGAAAGACTTTCTCTAGTTTTCCTCTCATATGGCTTCTCTTCACTTCCAGCAATTCTTTGAATGTAATAAACAATGCTATCAAGAGCGAACGCACTAGTCAATCTTATTCCTAAACCAGATGAGTCCCAAATTGCAAAAAGTACCAAATTGCAGCCCTTAACTACTCTACGAAATTTGACATCTGGGTGAGTACCAACTGAACCTTCAATTGCATTTGTTTGTGGATCATTCTCCCCCAACTTCTTTGCTAAGGCACCCCGAAATGATATCACGCCTTCATTGACAAGAGCGTGATCATTACTATCAACATAAGTAGCACACTTCTTCATCCACCTTCTCGCAGTAAGTGTGTTAACATTGTCATCCAGTCTCCCATCCTTATCTCTTTCCTTGAGAATCTCAATCCATTTATCAGCAATTGCAACATGGAGCAAACCACCTAACCCTACAGCCCCATCTTGGACAGGTATACAATCTGCTGGTATTCCCTGAACATTTTCACCCACAGTTAATGCATCTGTGAAGAAACTAGGCATGAGATCCTGGATCTGCTCTTCAGGGAATCCTGAGCTAGAAAAACCTTCAACTCCCTTTGACATTTCTCCCATTGACCTATGATTGCCAGTAACTCCATTTTCTAAAGGGTCCTCTATAACACCTAGCGGCAGCAGTTTGGTCTCCAGAGAAGAATTGTCAGCTTTGGTGGCGGAACTTTGCCCTAGATTGGCGGCCCTCGGAACATCCTCAACACTGTTGGGAACCATCTGAACTCTCACTTCTACCTTTTCTCTGAAGCGTGAGGAAATAACACCTTCAAAGGGAGGTTGTGGCTGAATAAAAGACTCCAGATGGAACGATTGAGGTTTAGCATAATGAAAAACAGTTGGAGTCAGAGCCTGCGGACTGGTAGAATTGGCCGCTAAAACCTGCACACGGGAATATTCTGCTTGCGACGAAGCTGGAGTACTGGGAAAAGAGGTTTGCGACATAGATGAGACCTGTGAACCCAGCGAATCTGATAGCGACGAACTTTTGCTTTTCGAATCCCGGCAGCGTCGCACGGTTCTCGAACGTCCTCGCCTGCGACGTTGTTGCCGCAGCTTGGTGTGCATCTCGTCCAGCCAGACCCTCATCTCCTTTGCCCAGTCACTTTCTACCTTTTCCCTGCTCTTCGCGATCTTCCCCGCGTTTCCGCGCGCGTTATCCTGCTCGGAACTTTGATGCTGCCTCCGCGGTTCCTTCCCCCCTTGCGTAGGCACGCGCTTTTCAATTTTCACATACAAACCAGAGGCGACCACTTCACGTTCTGACCTTCGATATCCTCTGCGCTGCTCCATTTTTTACGTGTGACTTAGATAGAATCTTCCCAGGACAACGCTCTGATACCAATGATAGGAACCACAGTAGAAGAGATGAAAAATTGAAGTAGAATTGATAACTGAAAAGAGAAAGATACAGTAGAGACTGTTCGAGTCGTCTCAACACTCCCAGGCCTAATCCCAATCCCAAATTCTGCCTGCCTATCTCCTCACCCTCTCTCCCTTATTTATGCTATTTCTAATGGGCCAGCCCACTTATATAAAGTTATAAGGCCTAAACCCTTATTATTGAGAATAATAAAATTACTTAATAGGCCTTTTATTATTTGTAGTGCCCGTGTCCCTATCACCTATACTCTTGGAGAATTGGGAAATGAAGATCACTCCACTCGTGGTATTATGGTTCGGTCAATGGAAGACATTCTTGAAAATATAAGTCCAGATACTGACTCAGTCTCTGTATCATACTTGCAGGTTGACATTTGATTTTTTGAAATTCCTGATTCTTTATAAGCATTGTTTTGCACCCTTTCATTTGCAACCAACCATACACATTATTCTGAAGCCTGAACTCTGAAGTGAAATAAATGATACTGTCTATTTGCAGCTTTATATGGAAACAATCCAGGACCTCCTTAATCCTGCAAATGATAACATTTCTATAGTTGAAGACCAGAAAACTGGCGATGTATCCCTACCAGGGGCAACGGTTGCTGATGTCCGAGGAAAGGGAAATTTTATGGAGCTACTACAGTTGGGGGAAGCTCATAGATATGCTGCTAACACAAAGATGAACACTGAATCTTCTCGTAGTCATGCTATTCTAATGGTAAATGACCTTTTTAATGTATTGCTTTATGCTGCTCACTCTCATTTGGTTCCTAACTCTGCTTTATTTTGTTACTTAAAAGAGAGGAGGAAACTCTTTGGGTATTTTTATATTTTTATGAAGATACACCAAATGACTGCCTGGTGATATACCTTACTTGTATTAATTGGTAATTTTGTATAGGTGCACATCAAGAGGTCTGTTTCTGTAAGGGAAACAGATATTTCTGCTGATTTTGATGATCCTTCTCCCTTGGCTACTAATTTTAAACCACCCATGCTTAGAAAAGGAAAGCTCCTCCTCGTAGACCTTGCTGGTTCTGAACGTGTTCTTAAATCTGGTATACCTAATTTTCTGTTTTTAATTATAAGTATGACTATCCTTGATTTAATTGTATATGCAGTATATGAGCTTAGGAGTACATCTAACTTTCTAGTATACCGATCTTTCATCTCATAGTTTAGTTTCTTATTCAATTGACCAGTTATGACATTTACCTGAGGTTTGGGATGTCATATACCAGTGGCAAATTCACAAGTGTATAGCTAATGCACTATACCCATGCTAAAAAATTAAGCTTACTATAGTGAGGATTTTTATTTTCTTTATGGTGGATCTCAGGAAGTGAAGGGCATATGCTAGAAGAAGCCAAGTCTATCAACCTTTCATTGAGTGCATTGGGGAAGTGCATAAATGCTCTGGCAGAAAATAGTACTCATGTTCCAGTCCGGGATTCAAAACTAACACGGTTGCTTAAGGACTCATTTGGAGGTTGGCTACGTGAAAACAATTTTTTCACGTGAAAATAATTTGTACTTTCCATCCCACACTTGCCCAAAATCTACAAAATTAAATAAAATACTACCTCCGTCCCATTTTATGTGTCTCACTTTGATTTGGCACAATTATCAAGAAAGTGGTTGAAAAAGTTAAAGTTGTGGTTGAGATTTGAGTATAATAAAGTGAAATGTTGTAGATCACATATTTCTTTCCAAAAGAGGAAATGAGACACTTATTTTAGGACAAACCAAAAGGGAAAGTAGGACAGGTAAAATGGGACGGAGGGAGTATCATTTCTCATGATATTTCTATAATGTAATTTGACATGACAGTAAATTTCCTTAGAAGCTGTTTTAATGCTGTTATTATTTATTGTAATATGACAGGCACATCAAGAACGTCATTAGTTGTGACCATTGGTCCATCGCCACGCCATCGAGCAGAGACAGCAAGTACCATTTTGTTTGGACAAAGGGTTGGTCATTTGATCTGGAACTTTAATTGGAGTATTCATTCAAAAAAATATCACCATTCAACTTTGTGCATATTATATAGCCAGATGAAGCGTTTGCTTTCATTGTATTACAGGCTATGAAGGTGGAGAACATGTTGAAAATCAAGGAGGAGTTTGATTACAGAAGTTTGTGTAAAAGGCTTGAGGAACAAGTTGACAAACTCATTGCTGAAAATGAAAGACAACAAAATGCTTTTGAGGATGAGGTAAAGAGAATCAGGTTAGAAGCGCAAAAGCACGTCTCTAAGGCCGAGCAGAACTGTGCAGATGAACTAAAGGTTATTTCATTATCTCTCTTACAGAGAACCTTTCAGGGACATTTGAATTTTTACACCTTTGCTGCACTTGATAATAAATCATACTCTCTAAAGGAATAGGAATGCCACGTTTTGTTTTGAACTGTAAATACATATTCAGTTCATAAGTAGAACTATTTTGATCTTTATTCATGATTTGAGCTGGCGGCTCTTGCAATTGAAATTTATACATTTGAAATTCTTTATGCATAACATGCTTAGTTTAATTTTTATTTAAATTTTCAACATGAAGGAAGAGAAAATTCGGTGCCAGATGGAATATATGGATTCAATTAAGAAACTTGAAGAAAAGATGCTTAATCAACAGAGGCATCCAGCCAATGGTGTCACCGATAATGGAGAGGTATTTCTTTTCTTTACGCCCCTATCATGACATTCTTATCTTCTTCTCTATCTTAGTAAGATCAAAGCAGTCACAGTATAACCTTCTTTCCACTGTATTATTCGTTACTTAATATAAATGATTTGAATTTCCTTTTTGGTACAGAGTCACAGTGGGTTCAACAGTGAGGATGTATCTGAACTGAAGAAGTTGCTGCAGAATGAAATTCAAACAAGAAAGGCAGCAGAAGAGGAAATCAGTAGCCTAAAAAATCAGATTATGAAGTTAAAAAAACAAGAAGTATGCATTGAGAGAAGGGTTTTAGTTATAGTAAAGAATTACTCCTTCCGGTCGCTAAAAACAGTTCTGTGCCTAATGTTTTTTTCTCTTATTAATAAGAGTCCTGTATGAACAAATGATGATTATTTTCCAAGGAACTTGCCAAAATAGATGAACTAACAACTAACAAGTTTAATATGATATGTTTAGGTAAACCATCAAAAAGCATATTAAATCTTAAATATAAGTTGCATTTATGGTTTGTAACAGACATATTTTTTCAAAAAATAAAGGGCTGCATGTTGGTTAAACAAGAATCTACTTCATAGGTGACTGGACGAAGGGAGTATTGCATATGAATGCAGTTTCACTTGCTTGTAAGATTGAACTGATGAGTGATTAATTCTGTAGTTACCCACTGGAAACTCAGATACTATGTGTCTCCAAAAGCTGCTGGAAGAGGAGGCTAGTGAAAAGAAGAGGCTGGAAGACGAAGTGATCCTCTTAAGAAGTCAATTGTCTCAATTGAATTTGGAAGCAAGTCAGGTATAGCCTTTGGTTCAGGCATTTGAATATGCTGCTAGATTTTGTTTGCTCCACTCATTTAAGAATCTAACTTTTTGAGCATATGTACATAGACTAGAAGCTATGATGATAGAAGCAGAAATGGCAATTCGCTTTCTGGTCTGGATTCTCTGTCTGCACTTAGACATCTGCAGTATAAAAATGGCAATAATGGGGAGAGAGTGGCAATAACCAATCTCCATGAACATGGTTACTATTTATTTTGTAACTCATATGTCATATTTATTATTGGCCATAAATATGTCTTTACTCATTCTTATTAAATCAAATAACAGTTGGGCTAAATAAGATTATGTCATTGCTGGAATCAGAAGATGCTAGTGTGCAGATTCATGCCGTGAAAGTGGTTGCCAACCTAGCAGCAGAAGGTGATTTTTCTCTGCCTCTTCCCACTCCTACATGAATTAAAAGAATACCTTCTTTTATTTTGTTATTGCTACTCCATCTTGCGTCTGTAAGAATATCGCTCTCTAATTCTAAAAAGACTTTGAAAAAGGCATGTTAATTCAAAATCTCTCTAAGTGATGTTAATCGTATTGAATAGGGATAGACACCGAAATGTAGTTAATACTTACTTTTGTTTATAAACATGTATTGCATTTTTATAAACCTTTTCTTGTTTTTTTTACACTTAACGATGAAAGGAATGTGTAACATTTTCCGTTCTTGGGTGATTTTTTATAAATGTACACTTTTAGAACATTATATAGAACTACTTAATAAATCTAATGATTTATTGCCATTCAACCGATTATCAAGGATGTTAATATATTTTATTGGTCTTCAATGTTAAATATTTTTGATGTAAAAACATTTATTATGCTTTAATTAGGCTCGAATAGAACTACTTTTTGGGGCTCGTGAAACATGAGATTCTGGGGCTTAAAATTAGATCTACTGTCAAAATAGTGTCATAGTTACTATTAAGCTACTACAAGAACCAATAACTGATTCTGATTGTGTGAATTTTCCATGGGTGCTTTTTCTGCACATGCTTAGAAGCAAATCAGGAAAAAATTGTTGAAGTTGGAGGTCTTACTTCGCTGCTGATGCTCCTTAGAAAATCTGAGGATGAGACAATACGTAGAATAGCTGCCGGTGCAATTGCAAATCTCGCAATGAATGGTCAGCACTCAGCAGGCATTCTTTTGGCTGTTTGTGACTTTTCATCATATGAATGATGTTTTTTTCCTTTCACTTGCAGAAGCAAATCAGGAGCTTATTATGGCTCATAGTGGGATTAGTCTTTTGTCAATGACAGCAGCTGAAGCTGAGGATCCTCAGACTCTACGGATGGTTGCTGGAGCGATTGCTAATCTATGTGGAAATGGTATATGCATCTTTATTTTTCGTCTTTGTGAATACACCTTTTTTGTTCAATATTTTTTCCACATCATCCGACTTTTCCTACATTTCTGTTTTCAAGAAAATTAAGCATTTTTTAAATAAATTGTGGAAATACCAATTAGAGAGGTCTGTCAGACATGTTATTTTTTGAGGAGCTAATAACAAAATGTGTGAACTACAAGGATTATTAGTAACACAAGTTATTTACTTATATTACATGGAGCTGAAACATAAAGTGTATATTAACGAAATAGTAAAACCGTAATTAAGCCTTTAATCTATAAGCATTAAGTCTGGAGGGTTTAGTACGAGCAACATGGGCACAGTTCTAAAGAAAAATGGAAGAATTATCAACGCACAGGCATTTATAATTCTTACCTTTTTTTATTCCTCAGATAAACTGCAGACGAGGCTAAGAACAGAAGGAGGTATAAGGGCTTTGCTTGGAATGGTGAGGTGCAGACATCCTGATGTTCTTTCCCAAGTTGCACGTGGAATTGCCAATTTTGCCAAGTGTGAGTCCAGAGCTTCTTCGCAGGGTGAGTCTTCCGTTTCTTAACTGGCTACCTGGTGAATATATTCTCAGTTTATACTCCTTCAGATACATAGAAAACCTCCCACTAATGGATGTACCTAACCTATTTGGCTGAAATGGCATTAGGAAAATCATATTATAACACATATTTAGCTAAATAAGTAAGTCAAGATCTACGTAGGACCTGTTTGGTAAGGGTTATTTCCCCCAAATGAGTGGATTAACTGTATTTTCTGAAAGGAAAAGTGTGTAGTAAATTCAGGTAGATATGACAAAGGCTACTTAGATCCTATTGGTAGGGTTATTTGACAGAAATTACTAAAATCCACTTAATTTTTTAAAAGAAACAGTGTTCTGTAAAATCCATTTCAGCCAACTAGTAAGCAAGTGAAAAGCTACTCACTGTAATTATTCTGCGAGTAGCAGAATAAGCTGAATTAGGCTCTTATTTTGCTTACTTTTCTTATTCTGCTGATAATGTATGCCTACTATGGAGAATAAGCTGATTATCTACCAGATGGAGCCTTAATCTGCTAAGAGTTTTAATAATCCCCCCCTAGACACTAGGCCTTCCTATAGTGCCTAATGCTTTTTCCTGTAATTACATTTAGCTCCCGCCTAACCCTGAATAATCCCTGGCTAGACGCCAAACCCCCGTCTGCCGCTTGTCGGCGCTCAGCACTTTCTTTGGGTCTAAGATAGTAAATTAATTTAAAAGGATATATTTATTAATTAGGCAGTGTAATATTTTTTGATCGAGATTATATCATGGTAGGCATAAAACTTGGACGGTCCCTTCTAATAGAAGATGGGGCACTACCATGGATTGTGCAAAACGCCAATAATGAAGCCTCACTTATTAGACGGCACGTGGAGCTTGCACTTTGTCACCTCGCACAACATGGTATGTGAGAGCTTTTCAGAGAACTGTGCTTCGTTGTAGAGGTATTGTATGTTTGTTGTCTAGCTTCTGAACACTGTTTTTTCCCTTCCCCCTACAGAAGTAAATGCAAAAGACATGATTAGCGGGGGAGCCCTCTGGGAGCTGTATCGTATCTCACGTGACTGCACACGTGATGACATAAAGTCACTTGCACGCCAGACGCTGGCTTCAAGCCCAACTTTTTTATCTGAAATGCGGCGCTTGCATATAGATGTATAGACGGATGATGGTGGGTCCAAGTACCGAATGGAGGATTTCAACCATATTTGCCAAATTTGACTAACCAGTTATTAGAAGAAGGGGGCGGCTGTCTTTGCAAACACAGATCAGCATCTTGTTTGTTCATATCCATTCATTTTTTGTTGGTTGAAGTTATACTACTTATGACATCTTGTGTGTTGTAACATATATATGAATGAATGGAGGTAAATTTAATGAAATTTACTAGTTCAATCGTTCCACATATTGTTCTTCTTAGTTTCGTGTATTACAGTATTAGCACTTCAGTAGTTCAGTAGTCATTTTAAAAGTCCGATGTTGCGTCATGCACTGTGGTTGGTTTAAGATCGTCAGATGGAAGCACTCAAATTATGATGAGAAACTTTCAGTTTTGAATTATGATAGAGGTACATAACACTCTTCCATAAATTCTTATAATATAGATACTACGTATGTGATAGCATCTTATTATTTAGCACATTACACCATTTTACATCAAAGGTGATTGCAATACCCACACGCAGGGGCGGATCTAGCATTGCCATCCAGCAGGGGCCAAACTTTAAATAAATAAAATATTGTGAAAATGTCAAAATGTAATACGTAGTACAACGGTATGTCATTAAACAAAATTTATTTTTAAACATAAAATAAAATTGATTGCAAATAAATGCCAAAGCCAAAATAAATATAATAAGAATAATTGTTCAAAAAATATAACTGGAATACGAATTTTTTGTCGATTAGAAAAAAACAACCCAAGCCCATACATATTGAACTAATTTTCACCTACCATCACCACCTACCAGGATCAATAATTTGAACAAATTGATTTTTCTTGCTAATATTCAAAAGTACAAAAACATTCACAATATTAGTATCTAGCTCATTCACTAGCTTGTAGTAATTGAATTTAGGAGACCAAGTTTAAATCTTTTTATTCTTTCCGGGTGGAGAAAGAGATTTTAGAAAAGAAAATTGAAATTTTTACACTTAGCTATCCCATTGAAAAGTTAGAAAAAAGGGATAAGGGTCAGATAGGGCCTCGAACTCGAAAAAAAATGTCAAATAAGGTCATATTTCGGATGCTCTGTCTGGCCGACGCCATTTGGGGCGGTTCCCGATGGAATTTTTTGATGAAATTTTTTGAGCATCTTCCTCATTAAGTCTAGTTTACCCATACCAAATTTCAGCTAAAAATTCAACCGGGAAGGTAGTCAAATAATTTTCCGAAATGTACGGCGTTGTTTAACTTCACAGTTATCTTCAAAAACTCATTTGACTACCTTCCCGGTTGAGTTTTTAGCTGAAATTTGGTATGGGTAAACTAGACTTAATGAGGAAGATGCTCAAAAAATTTTATCAAAAAATTCCATCGGGAACCGCCCCAAATGGCGTCGGCCAGACAGAGCATCCGAAATATGACCTTATTTGACATTTTTTTTCGAGTTCGAGGCCCTATCTGACCCTTATCCCTAGAAAAAAAAGCTCTACATGGGGGTTGAACTCCTAACATACAAAAGTTAGGCTACAAGGCATATGTGCAACTCCGTTTCCAACTTGCCAACACTGTATTTGTTGGTAAATTGGCTTTCTTTAGAATTATACCATTGCCTAACAACAATATATGTAATATACTACATATATATACTATTAATTTTGTTTTTTTTTTCAGGTTGGGCCTAGGCCCTCCCTGGCCTAAGGCCAGATCCGCCCCTGCCCACACGGCCACACTTGTGTAAGCTTGCACTCCACGGCGGCGGCTCGGGAGGGGGACGCGCCCGCCGTTCATCCGCCACAACTTCAACATCAGCTTTATTGAGATCAAGTTTTTCTTTCTCTGCGCAAATCGCCATCGTCTTGTATTTGTTCACAAAGCTTCCCATACCGAAAAGAGAAAACTCAAACGAAAATCCGAAACTCGTTTCCACCTCCATATCCGCCGACGAAGCGGGGCTGCAACGAGAAGACCCTACAGAGAACTCGACCGAGAGACGCCCTACTTTGCTCTCCTTCAACAACGAATCCTTCTTGTTGAATCCCAAATCAAAACGAAACAGAGCTCCGCAACCGCACCTTCTTCCAACCAATCCAAACGAAAGAACCGCCACCGGACAAACCCTAGGCCGACCGATGCGGTGGCTCTAGAGAGAGAAAAAGTCTCTCAACCTAACTAGTCTGTACTTTGTAAAGACAATTTTAGTGTGTCTTTTGAAAGTACTGAATTTAAGTATTCAACCACATGTCCGCAGATTTAAGGGCCTCTTGAGTAACTATAAAGCACCGAAGTCATGACTAAAATAATCGAATTTTCTGAAATATGAAAAAATATTTAAAATATACAAGTACATTTTTAATGCATTAAACAAATATTTGTATATTTCAAAATATGATTGTCATGTTTTTATTTTTGAACTATCAAAAAAAATATTTTTATTTTTTAAATAAGGTAATTACTGTCACGTTTTAATAGTGATAGACTTTAAATTGACAATATATTTCATTCTTGATAATAATTATTTCTATTTAAAATAAAAAATATAACAACCTTATTTTAAAATTAGAGAGTTTCGTGAGTTGAATTGAAATCAGAAATTAAAACCGAACGAACCCAATCACTGAATCACCCAAGGTTTCCATAGAGTTAACACCCACCCGACGGTTTTATTAGGTCACGGCTTCCCATAGCCAGAACTCCCACTTTCTATCACGCCCTACGCCCTGCCCTCGCAATTTTCCGGAGACTGCACGCAGACATGGCGGCGGAGGGAGAGGAACAGCCCCTGACTTACATGGATGAGGTTGTGCTGAAGAAGAGGAGAAACAATGAGGAGTGGGCCATACGAAGGAAGCATCAGCTGGAGCAGAAAGTCAGGAAGCTCAAATCTGATAGCTTCATCATCAAGAAGCCCGAACAGTTCATTAAAGAATATCGAGACAGGGTAAAAGAATTTGACCTAAGTCAGTACCTTAAATGTTTTCTGGTGTCTTATCTGATGAGTAAATTGTCTCCTTCATGGAATGTGTTGAAGGTTTTAAAATAAGCAGTGCACGTGGAGCTATTTACATTTGCTAAACTGTTTTTAGTCGTGTTTAAAAATTGCATATGTAATGCCATTTCTTCAATTGGTTGTTACTCCATAATCACAATTTTCACTTTCTAACTCCAAGTTTTCATTCTTCCATGTAAGTCAACAAATTTTTTAAGATGGATAGAAAGACAATATATGGATTATTTGTTAATTAGACTTGATTCATACAAGATTGGGTAGTCACAATCATCTTTTGTGTGATTCTAGCTTCAATTTTGGGTAGTATACTTGCTTCTAGTTTTTTAAATCAACTCCTATGTTACATGACCTATTTGATCTCAGTCTTGGAATGATTTTTGTTAGTATGCTGGGTGCAATGTCATAAAAAGCAGCCTAGGCAGGTGAAAGGTGGTCAGCCTCCTTGGTTCCAAAGCTGATGAGGGGGTCTGGCCTTTTATTTTTATTCTTGTAAACGAAATACACGAACTACTCTCTCTCCCTCTCTCTGAAACACATTTCACACACGATCTTTTAATGATTAATCAAATGTAAGTTAGTGTTTTTTTACATGACATGAACATAAAAATCATATTTAGTTGTTAGTTATTTGATTTTGAAAAAACTATGCATATTTACAATTTATTTTATACCTATTTCATGGTGGCACCTAGACAGTCCCATTTGTGGTGCCTTCTAACGCTTCCTATGTTGTCTATGTGCTTCTGTAAAGACACTGTTAGCATTTTCATGATGTAAGATATTCCCTTTATATATCTTATTATTCTCATTTTTTGTCAGGAGCTTGACCTAGTAAGAATGAAACAGAGGGTCAACAAATTTTTTAAGATGGATAGAAAGACAATATATGGATTATTTGTTAATTAGACTTGATTCATACAAGATTGGGTAGTCACAATCATCTTTTGTGTGATTCTAGCTTCAATTTTGGGTAGTATACTTGCTTCTAGTTTTTTAAATCAACTCCTATGTTACATGACCTATTTGATCTCAGTCTTGGAATGATTTTTGTTAGTATGCTGGGTGCAATGTCATAAAAAGCAGCCTAGGCAGGTGAAAGGTGGTCAGCCTCCTTGGTTCCAAAGCTGATGAGGGGGTCTGGCCTTTTATTTTTATTCTTGTAAACGAAATACACGAACTACTCTCTCTCCCTCTCTCTGAAACACATTTCACACACGATCTTTTAATGATTAATCAAATGTAAGTTAGTGTTTTTTTACATGACATGAACATAAAAATCATATTTAGTTGTTAGTTATTTGATTTTGAAAAAACTATGCATATTTACAATTTATTTTATACCTATTTCATGGTGGCACCTAGACAGTCCCATTTGTGGTGCCTTCTAACGCTTCCTATGTTGTCTATGTGCTTCTGTAAAGACACTGTTAGCATTTTCATGATGTAAGATATTCCCTTTATATATCTTATTATTCTCATTTTTTGTCAGGAGCTTGACCTAGTAAGAATGAAACAGAGGGTCAACAAATTTTTTAAGATGGATAGAAAGACAATATATGGATTATTTGTTAATTAGACTTGATTCATACGAGATTGGGTAGTCACAATCATCTTTTGTGTGATTCTAGCTTCAATTTTGGGTAGTATACTTGCTTCTAGTTTTTTCAATCAACTCCTATGTTACATGACCTATTTGATCTCAGTCTTGGAATGATTTTTGTTAGTATGCTGGGTGCAATGTCATAAAAAGCAGCCTAGGCAGGTGAAAGGTGGTCAGCCTCCTTGGTTCCAAAGCTGATGAGGGGGTCTGGCCTTTTATTTTTATTCTTGTAAACGAAATACACGAACTACTCTCTCTCCCTCTCTCTGAAACACATTTCACACACGATCTTTTAATGATTAATCAAATGTAAGTTAGTGTTTTTTTACATGACATGAACATAAAAATCATATTTAGTTGTTAGTTATTTGATTTTGAAAAAACTATGCATATTTACAATTTATTTTATACCTATTTCATGGTGGCACCTAGACAGTCCCATTTGTGGTGCCTTCTAACGCTTCCTATGTTGTCTATGTGCTTCTGTAAAGACACTGTTAGCATTTTCATGATGTAAGATATTCCCTTTATATATCTTATTATTCTCATTTTTTGTCAGGAGCTTGACCTAGTAAGAATGAAACAGAGGGGTAAAAGGAGATTACCAGCGTTCCCAATGTCCAAACTGCTTTTTGTCATACGTATTGGAGGGTGTGTTACCTATGTGTCTAGACAGTCTTTTATTTGCACTGCTTCTTTGTGGTTCTAACTTTGCGAATCATTCAGGAAAAATGATATGCATCCGAAAAC